CCATTTCTTTCAGGTTGCCCATTTTATTTGCATAGAGTTGCTTGTAGTAGTCTCTTAGGAGGCTTTCTATTTCTCTGGTGTCCATTGTAACTTCTCCTTTTTCATTTCTAATTTTATTGATTTGAGTCCTCTCTCTCTTTTCACTTGATGAGTCTGGCTAAAGGTTTATCAGTTTTGTATATCTTCTCAAAGAACCAGCTTTTAGTTTTATTGATCTTTGCTATTGTTTTCTTTGTTTCTATTTCATTTATTTCTGCTCTGATCTTTATGATTTCTTTCCTTCTACTAACTTTGGGTTTTGTTTGTTCTTCTTTCTCTAGTTCCTTTAGGTGTAAGGTTAGATTGTTTATTTGAGATTTTTCTTTTTCTTGAGGTAGCACTGTAATGCTATAAACTTCCCTCTTAGAACTGCTTTTGCTGCATCCCACAGGTTTTGGATCATCATGTTTTCGTTGTCATTTGTCTTGAGGTATTTTTTGATTTCCTCTTTGATTTCTTCAGTGATCTCTTGGTTATTCAGTAGTATATTGTTTAGCCTCCATGTATTTGTGTTATTACATTTTTCCCCCTGTAATTTATTTCTTATCTCATAGCATTGTGGTCAGAAAAGATTCTTGATATGAATTCAATTTTCTTAAATTTACCGAGGCTTGATTTGTGACCCAAGATGTGATCTATCCTGGAGAGTGTTCCGTGTGCACTTGAGAAGGAAGTGTAATCTGCTGTTTTTGGATGGAATGTCCTATAAATATCAATTAAATCTATCTGGTCTATTGTGTCATTTAAAGCTTGTGTTTCCTTATTTATTTTCTGTCTGGATCATCTGTCCATTGGTGTAAGTGAGGTGTTAAAGTCCCCCACTATTATTGTGTTACTGTCGATTTCTTCTTTTATAGCTGTTGGCATTTGCCTTATGTATTGAGGTTTTCCTATGTTGCGTGCATATATATTTATAATTGTTATATCTTCTTCTTGGATTGATCCCTTGATCATTATGTAGTGTTCTTCCTTGTCTCTTGTAACATTCTTTATTTTAACATCTATTTTATCTGACAGGAGTATTGCTACTCCAGCTTTCTTTTGATTTCCATTGCATGGAATATCTTTTTCCATCCACTCACTTTCAGTCTGTATGTATCCCTAGGTCTGAAGTGGGTCTCTTGTAGACAGCATATATATGGGTATTGTTTTTGTATCCATTCAGTGAGCCTGTGTCTTTTAGTTGGAGGATTTAATCCATTCACGTTTAAGGTAATTATTGATATGTATGTTCTTATTACCATTTTCTAATTGTTTTGAGTTTGTTTGTGTAGGTCCTTTTCTTCTCTTCTGTTTCCCACTTAGAGAGGTTCCTTTAGCATTTGTTGTACAGCTGGTTTGGTGGTGCTGAATTCTCTTAGCTTTTGCTTATCTGTAAAGCTTTTGACTTCTCCATCAAATCTGAATGATATCCTTGCCAGGTACAGTAATCTTGGTTCTAAGTTCTTCCCTTTCATCACTTTAAATATATCATGCCACTCCCTTCTGGCTTGTAGAGTTTCTGCTGAGAAATCAGCTGTTAACCTTATGGGAGTTCCCATGTATGTTATCTGTCATTTTTCCCTTGTTGCTTTTAATAATTTTTCTTTGTCAATTTGATTACTATGTGTCTTGGCGTGTTTCTCCTTGGGTTTATCCTGCCTGGGACTCTCTGCATTTCCTGGACTTGGGTGGCTATTTCCTTTCCCATGTTAGGGAAGTTTTTGATTATAATCTCTTCAAATACTTTCTCAGGTCCTTTCTCTCTCTCTTCTCCTTCTGGGACCCCAATAATGCGAATGTTGGTGCGTTAAATGCTGTCCCCGAGGTCTCTTAGGTTGTCTTCATTTCTTTTCATTCTTTTTTCTTTATTCTGTTCCGTGGCAGTGAATTCCACCATTCTGTCTTCCAAGTCACTTATCTGTTCTTCTGCCTCAGTTATTCTGCTATTGATCCCTTCTAGTGTATTTTTCATTTCAGTTATTGTATTGTTTATCTCTGTTTGTTTGTTCTTTAATTCTTCTAGGTGTTTGTTCTGTAATTCTTCCAGGTCTTTGTTAAACATTTCTTGCATCTTCTCAATCTTTGCCTCCATTCTTTTTCCAAGGTCCTGGATCATCTTCACTATCATTATTCTGAATTCTTTTTCTGGAAGGTTTCCTAGCTCCACTTCATTTAGTTGTTTCTCTGGGGTTTTATCTTGTTCCTTCATCTGGTACATAATCCTCCGCCTTTTCATTTCGTCTGTCTTTCTGTGAATGTGGTTTTTGTTCCACAGGCTGCAGGATTCTGGGTCTTCTTGCTTTTGTGATCTGCCCTCTGGTGGATGAGGCTATCTAAGAGGCTTGTGCAAGCTTCCTGATGGGAGGGACTGGTGGTGGCCAGAGTTCAGTAAAACTTTAATCCACTTGTCTGCTGATGGGTGGGGCTGCATTCCCTCCCTGTTGGTTGTTTGGCCTGAGGTGACTCAGCACTGGAGGCTACAGGCTCTTTGGTGGGGTTAATGGCAGACTCAGGTCCGGCAGGGCTCACGCCAATGAGTACTTCCCAGAGCTTCTGCTGCCAGTGTCCTTGTCCCCATGGTGAGCCACAGCCACCCCCGGCCTCTGCAGGAGACCCTCCAACAGTAGCTGGTAGGTTGGTTCAGACTCCTATGGTGTCACTGCTCCTTCCCCTGGGTCCCGATGCACACACTACTTTGTGTGTGCCCTCCAAGAGTGGAGTCTCTGTTTCCCCCAGTCCTGCTGAAATCCTGCAATCAAATCCCGCTAGCCGTCGCAGTCTGATTCTCTGGGAATTCCTCCTCCTGTCGCCAGATCCCCAGGTTGGGGAGTCTGACGTGGGGCTCAGAACCTTCACTCCAGTGGGTGGACTTCTGTGGTATAAGTGTTCTCCAGTCTGTGAGTCACCCACCCAGCGGTTATGGGATTTGATTTTATTGTGATTGCACCCCTCCTACCGTCTCACTGCGGTTCTCCTTTGTCTTTGCGTGTGGGGTATCTTTTTTGGTGAGTTCCAGTGTCTTCCTATGGATGACTGTTCAGCAGTTAGTTGTGATTCCAGTGCTCTCGCAAGAGGGAGTGAGCACACGTTCTTCTACTCCACCATCTTGAACCAACTTTGTAGCTTATAGGTCTTGAATAATCTTGTTATGGATTGAATGTTTGTGTTCCCTCAGAATTCTCTCACCACCCCCACCCCCAATGTGATGATGTTCAGAGGTGGGGCCTTTGGCAGGTAACATGGTCATGAGGGTGGAACCCTCATGAATGGGATTAGTATCCTTATAAGAAGAAACACGAGACCTTGCTTTGGGTCTGCTGGCTCCACTGTGAGAGAAGACACTGGGAAAACAGGCCTCTGCAACTAGGAAGAAGCTCTCACCAGAAACCGACCATATCAGCAACCCTGGTCTCAGACTTCCAGGCCCCAGAACTGTGAAAAATCAATTTCTGCTGTTTATAAGCCAACCAATGTGTGGTATCTGTCATGGCAGCCCGAACTGACCAAGGCTGATGAGAAATACTTATTTTATCCCATAAGCAGTGGGGAATCATTTTAGCTTCTTGAGGAAGAACCTGACCCAATAAAACAAAAATACTTGCAGAAGAAAACAGTAACAAAAACAATAATAGAAAGTAATGACAGAAGTGACATTTACTGAATGCTACCAGGCAGTGTCCTAGTACATAGGACCCTTGGCTTGCAGGACCTTCACTACAGCCCAAGGAGGTCTGTACTGTTATTCCCTTTTCAGAGATGGTAAAACTCTTCAGAGACACTAAATAACTTGCCCAAAGTCACAAAGCTAGTCAGCAGTGGAGCGAAGATTCAACCCAGTTTGGTCATATCTTAAGCCTGAGCTCTTTTGGGTTGGAATGAGCTGAACCCAAAGGTAGAAAAAATTAGTAGAAAACTATTGTTCAAATTTTCAAAAGAACCTAAGGGTCTGCACTAGAGCACTGGGCAATGGAAACAGGGTGAGGTAGAGACAATCTGAGAAAAGAAAGACAAAACCTGAGCTTGGACTGAAGAGACGATGTGCCAGGCGAGGGAACAGACGCTGCCTCCCCCCCATCCCCCCATTTCCATCCATCTGTCAGCTCATCCTGCAGCCCATGAGCTGGAGGGGAGGCAGGCTCAGGTCCAAGCTCCTTGGCCTGGTTCCCCCTGGCCATTCCTGGTGCAGTGATGGGCAAGTTACCCATTAGGGCCCAGGAATCCAGACAGAGGCTTGCTGGGAACTGCTGCAGTTCTGTTGTTTTTCTAAGAGGGCTTCTGAAAGGAACTCCCCCTGTCTCCCCAGATGCAGATGGGGGTGCACACAGCCCTTGAGGCTGTTGTCAGGGGTCTCAGAGTTAAGAGGAGAGCTGGCCTTAGTGTGATGTCAATGTGGCAAAGGATGGAGAAAGGACAGAAATTGGTCTGTTAACCCCCTAAATCAATCCAACTCTGAAGCCCACCAACCTCTGACTTTCCAGTTCTTTGAGCTGATGAGTCCTTTGTCGTTTCCTGCTCCCCAAACGCTCCTGTTACATGGGAAAGCTCTGCACCGGTCTGTTGCAGGTTCCTCACTTGAGTCACTGCCACACACCCTCATGGAGAACAAGGAGAAATGTTAAACACCCAGATCCAGGAAGATGCTGCCTGGAGCTCTCACTGGAGAAAACCGAGTGAGTGGATGGAGCCGAGGCAGACAGAGCCAAAGCTCCTGCCCTAGCACGGGGCTGCCGGTCCACAGCGTGTGCACCGCCACTTAGACCTCCGACCCTTGTTGCCAAACAGACCACAGCCGAAGCTCTCAGGAAAGCAGGGCCCAGATGGTGCTGTGTGTAACGAGGACTCTTCTCATGCTGAGTCCTCAAAGGTATTGGTTCCCCCCGGATAAAGGTCTGACGCATACATTTCCAAAATCCAGTACAGTATCATGCAAACCAAGACCTCTTCAAATTCAACCAAATAGGTCAGAGTAACAGACGCTGTTCTGTCAAAAAGGATCATTTTATTCAGCTACACATAACATAGATAAAAGCAAGCAAAGTCAGGATGTTTTTCTCAGCCATCCTTTCCACATTTTACGCAGTTTTAGAGAACTATAAATCACTGATTTCTTCAGGCCTAAAAGAGAAAAGAAGAGAGAGTAAGAACACTGAGGCTTACTGAGTGGATGCTCAGTGGAGGTCCTGTGGTATTCGGATCAGACTCATCTTTGGAGTAGAACAGCGATGGGCTGACTGGCGTTCCAGGAGAGCCTGGGGGCCTGACAGGGTCCAGGAGACCCTGGGGGCCATCGTGATCAACGGGAGGGAAAAGAGTGATTTCCGCATCTGCTGAAGCAGTGATACGGATGCCAAAGGCACCCAAGCTTCTGGGGTAAGGGAGTCATTTCAGATAGGAGCATGCTGCAACCTCTGAATTTAGCAGCTCTTTGAAAAAGGAGGAGAAAGGAAGGCAAAGACAAGACGCCGTATGTAAGTGAGCGTCCTTGGCCCCCTTTCTAGCCCCCGATGCCTCCCAACCACCCCCAGCGCACTGCTGCCATGTCCCTGCGTGTGACGCCAGTTTGCCCGCGGTGAAGGGCGTTCCCACCACACCCTGCCTGGTAGACGCCGCGATCCTGTTCAGATTTTTCCCCTGGAAGCACCGGGCTCCCCAGCCGATTCAGCCACTGTTCCTCCTGGTCCCACGGTGCCTGTGCTGACGCCCAGCTCAGCACTCACCACACTGCACAGTGCTCTCCTGTCCCTCTGCCTACACCAGGAGCTCCTTGAGGACAGGGACCTTGTCCTATTCATCCCGGGTTCCCCATCTCTTAGTGCGGCACCCGGCACACAGCAGGTGCTCAGTAAACACCTGCAGTGATGGAACAGATGCACCTTGTTCAGACACCTGCCCTTCCAGCACCCCATCTACTGAGTCACAAGTGCCTGATGAAACCAGAGGAGAGGCTCTCGGGGGAGTTTACGGGAAAGAAGTCCGACGGCATGGACTAAGCGGGGTGCTGCTGTCTGTCGGGACTCACAGGATCCCATTTGCAGACGGTGTTACGGGCTTGACCTTCTTTGTGCTGAGGATGAGATCATTCAGTCTGTGTTTCAGGGTGTGGCCCAAAGATCCGAACAGTCTTTTTCACCCTGGGATCCAGACCGTGGTCTGCGCTGCAGGTGTGACATGTAGTGTGGGCACCGCTCACAAGGTATAACAGGACTAGTTCCGGAGGCTCTGAGCACTGGCGTGTAAGCGCTCTCAAAAATACCTGATCATGTTACCTGTAGGCCGCCTCATGCACTGAGGACCTTTTACGACGCCACTGCAGGCAGCGGCAGGTAAAAAGGCAGGGCACCGATAAAGTCATTAGTGAATGCTTCTAGAAGCTGTGGCCTCGCTTGTCCACTGACTGACTCCTGCAAACCGAGACTCGTCAAGAAACTCAGAGCTCCTTTTCCTGCCTCCACCCGTTTTAATTTTCTCCCTGGAGCAACCACTCTGGTAAACCTCACCCACTCGAGCACTGGGACTGGAATCTTATTACGTAAGGTGCTTTTTAAAATTCCAGGCAGAACCGATCAAGACACCAAGGTAGCTGCACACAGTAAGGGTCAACGCGGCAACTCCAGGGCACTGAGTCACAGCTAGAGGAAGAGGCATCGACCATAATGAGTCCCAGCTCAGCTTCACAAACCTTCCTCACAGACTCTGGGGAGCTTAACATTTACGGTAAATACACCACAGTCCACGAGCGGCATTGTGGAGCCATTTTTTGCTGCTAGTGGATAGAAACATCCCTTAATTAAGAAGTCTCTCCCTTCGGCAGCTCTACCAGAGACATGTTCTCAGGACGGCTGCAGCAGGGGACGGATCTGGCAAGGGCACTGGAATGGGAGTCAGGAGAGCGGAATGTTAGTCCCCGCTGGGGACAAGGAGACTCCCCGTCTCTGGGCATCGACTTCCTCATCTGCAAACTGACAGGTTGGACTAGGTTACGGGTTCTCCAACGAGGGGCCAACAGGCAGGCCTCAGTCTGAGAACTCCCTGAAGCTGCAGGGAGGTTTGCTGAGTGTGCGCACGTGTGCATGTCTGTGCAGAGGGCCCAGAGTTTTAGTCAGAGTCTCACTGGGAGCCAGGATTTTCAAGAGGTTAAGAACCAAGAGATTAGAAGGAAGGATCCTGCCTTAATATTCTAGTTGCAACGAAGGTGGAGGACAAAACTTCATGAACTTGGAGTAGGCAATATTTCCTAAACAGGACACAAAAAGCTGCTAACCTTACAGGACAAAACTGATAAACTGGACTAAGTAAGATTAAGCACTTTTCATCAAAAGACACCATTAAGACACCGAGACGACAAGCCCTAGAGTGGGGGACTTTTGCATTCCACTTGTCCAACGAAGGACCTGTAACCACACTATACAGAGATTTCAGTGTAAAAAAAAAAAAAAAAAAAAAAAGGCAGACAATTCAAAAGAAAAATGAGCAAAAGTAGAATAGGTACTTCACAAAAGAGGATCTCCGACCATGTAAGCATGTGAAGAAACGCTCAACTTTATCGGTCATCAGGAAAGTGCAAGTTAAAACTCCAATATGATACGTCTACTCACCTACCAGAGGGCCTAAAAAGAAAAAGACCTACTATCAAGCACTGGTCACGGAGGTACTGCAGCAGGAACTCTGCTGCTTGGAGTGTAACCTAGACACTCGTTAGGTAGTATCTACCACAACTGGACATTCACACACTTTATGATACAGTAATTCCACCCGCAACTAAAAACCTAACAGAAATGCATACCTACGCTCGCTCGAAGACAGGTACCAAAACATGCATAGCAGGACTCTTTGAAATAGCCCCAAACTGGAAACAACCCGGGAGATCATCAACAGTAGAAGGGATGAACTGTGCTCGAGTCAGACGATGGATGAGCTGCAATGAGAATAAACGGACTACTCCCAACACCACGAGGAATCTCACTGCTGTTACAAGGAGTGAAAGACATGAGAGAGTACGTATTTATATGAAGTTCAAAAATGGGCAAAACAGAAGCATGGCATTAGAGGTCAGGACAGTAGGCACTCTGGGAGGAGCAGTGACTGGACGGGGCACAGTGGGGTTCTGGGGGAACTGGCCCTATTCTAGTTCTTCATCTGGGTACTGGGTTCACGAGTCTGTTCACTTTGTGAAAATTCACCAAATTTATGATTTGTGTACTTTTCTGTATATATGGAGACTTTCCCTACTACCAGAAAATTCAGAATCTTCCATTTATTCAGTCACTGAAATACACTGAACAGGCATTTCTTGGGCACCAACACATACGGGACACGGAGCTAGTTGTTCGGGACACCGGTATGAACAACAGCCCTGGTCTCTGCCCTCACAGAGTTTATAATCCACAGACTTCTACTTGGCCGACACTGAGCTTTTGTGTGGTTTCTGCTTCCTTTCTAAAGATGATGGTGACTTAGGAAGTCTGCATCTAGAATGCGTCTTGAAGGAAGACAGCCTGCTAAGAGAGAAACTCTACTCTAAGAACCATCATTGTTGACTTTGCTCCTTCCCCAGCGGATAAAGGTGCAAACATCTCCTTAGCGACATCCTGTTTAGGCAGATCCTTATTTACCTAAAGCTGGTCGTTATGAACACTGATTAGTAACCAAAGTCAGGATTTTGTTTTGGAAGCAAACGGAAATCTACTCTAATACATGGCTCCTAAGGTTTTTCTTCTGTTGATTCCCAGTATGTTTCATGTTACCTACAGCAAAATCACTACATATGTAATACTATGAATTCCCTGCGTGACCTTAAACAGATAGGTCCAGTGACAGACAAAATGCTCCAGGAAACAATGTGAGGCAGAGATGAGACCAGGTTGTGAGAGGTCTCTACCTTCCCATAATCCTATATTTCAGATATTTAGGAGAGAAAATCAGCGAGCCCCAAACATTCTTCCAATTAATTTCCAACCACAGTTAGCTATATCTACAAAGAAAATCTTTTCTGAGGCAGTTTTATTTTTAAAACTTTCAGGTTTAAGTGATAAATACATCACCAGAAAAATCTTTATTATCATGTGTTCTTCTTATTGAAACATGTAGGTACCAAAAAATGGGGATAAAATGTTTCAGTTATAAGAGATGAGAAGGAGAAGATAATCAATGATACATTCTATCACTTTCAGGAAAGGGCTGGTAAGGACCGGCCGAGGCGTGCCGGAATCTTTTTAGGAACAAGACTAAACCTGTCTTGTTTAAGTTGAATCTTTTGAAGCTACAGAGGTAAATAGGTATTTGACTCCGAAGTGAATTCTGATTGACCAGAAAGTCAGGTGGGGAAAAATAAAGCAATATTTCAAAGATTAAACTTGTCATCCTCCCCTACGTTCCCTCACCCCAGGAAAGGCACCTCCACCTCCGCTCCCCAAGCCAGAAACCTGGGAGCTTCTCTGACTCCTCTCTGCTTCACTGCCCAAATCCCTCCCATCACCAAGACCTGGGGATGCGTCTTCCAAGTATTGCCTGCATCTCTCCTCTGACTCTCCTGCAAAACCCTGAGTCAGGGCGGCCAGGCCTCCTCACCTGGCGGGCCGCAGCCGCAGTCGATCAGTTTCCCAAGCAACAGCGTCACCTCCCTCCAAGCTGCTCTCTATCCTCTCGCTACAGCAGTCTTTCGACAATCCTTCAGCGGCTTCCCTCTCCCCTCAGTGAAACTCTGGATTCCCCTTCAGGCTTTTACAGGCCTTCCCCTGTCTGGCTCCTGCTTGCTTCTCAGTCTAACTGCTAAGCCCCTGACCCATTTCTCCCCAAGCTCCCCGCCGCCGTCCCGCAAAGATGCAAAGAGTTCCACTCCTCTCTACTCATTCAGGTTAGACACATAAACGGCTGTGGCTGATCAGAACGTGATGTTTGCTTGGTCGGGCTGAGCCGTGATGCGGTGTGCTGCTGCCCTGCAGGGCGGCGCAGGCAAGGACCGGGAGGCTGAACAGTCTCCTGCTCTCCCGAGCTGCCTGGCTGCAGCTGCTGCCCCGAGACCCTGATAAAAACCGCTGCTCCATTGACAGCACAGTCTAAGAAGTCAGTATTATCTTGCCAATAACCGACTCCCAGGCTAAAGGGAAAAACAGTGTTTGGTTTTGGAAGTAGTTCTGTACTCACCTTGGAACATGGGTATATCTGATGGTAGGGGAATTTCAGGGAACTAACACAGACAGAGTGTCAGACCACACGAGGACACCTGCCGTGTCACCCAACACAGTTCATTAGAAAGGGCAACCCTTTGGGCTGACACAGAGCCTGGCTTCCATCTCTTCCAGGAAGAGACTGATACTTAGATCTAGACTCGCTCAAGTTTATAAAGCACCTACTAGGTACTGGGTACATACTGGACACTCTCGCAACATGCCACGAGTTGGGTATTAGTATCCCCTCCACTTCAAGGAAGAAGGGCTGTTAACACACCAAGGTTACAGAGCAAAGACGTGAACTACAACTCTGAGCCAAGGCCTTCTTATCACCATCTTAGCTCCGCTCTCTCTGAATTTAACAATATTGGAATATAAAAGTTATTCACTAGCTAAGGAGACCCTTCCTTTTTACCCCCACTACGAGTGGCTGGTTGCAGAGGGGAGGAGTGATAAGGGCTACAAAGGAGGAAAAGTGCAACCAGATAACCTGGGATTTTCTCACTCTGCAGGTGATACATCAGCTGGCTGAAAACCCGACCAGAGGCAGAGCTTGGGAGATTTCAGGAAGATGCACCCAGCACAAGCCAGGCAGAACAACAGCAATTATGGCCACATCCAGAGGACTTCCGAAGAGCAGCGCACAGGAGAGAGAGGTTCTGACGCTGTGAAGTTAGAGGACAGAGAAAGAGTAAACCAGCCACTCAGGGCCTACGGTTGCTAGTTTACTCCAGCTGGAGACCTAGTGACGGGGCTACTGCTAGTTGAATAGGAAAATGCAAGGAGGCATGTTCTAAAGAGACGGCAGGAAGCTTTTAGGTAATGATACCAAAGAGGAAAGACCAGGCACAGTGCTGGTGCTCTTATATGTCTTAAGATGTAATTTTCGCAACCCAGTGAGGCAGGCATAATTATCCCTATGAAATTAAAACTAAGAAAAATTAGGTAACTTACCCAAGTCACAGTAGTTAAGCTGGAGTTCGAACCCTAATCTCTGAGGCTCACAAACCCCTGCCCTTGGCCTGGGCCACCTGCATCACAGCCCTCAACCACCAGAAACCAGAGAAGCCAGGGCACAGGGTAAGCAAACCCAGCGAAATCTGAAGGAACGCGCATCACCTTCCACAATTCCTGCAACCTCAGAGCAGGCTGCAGACATTCTGTCCCTCTGGTTCCACAATCCAATGAGACATCTTTAGAGGGGAAGGGAGAAAATTAGTGAGCACTCAGAGGAGGCAGCACTGGGCACTCCACCGCCACAAGGAAATCTGGGCTGCGGGTTCCATGAGATGATACCCACTGCCCTCTGCTGGCAACCAGGAAGAACAAGAGGAAAGAGGACCAAAGATCCATTTCAGGTTGACGTGTCAAGAGATGATGACGGTGGATGGAACTTCCCTGGTGGTACAGTGGTTAAGAATCTGCCTGCCAATGCAGGGGACATGGGTTTGAGCCCTGGTCCAGGAAGATTCCACGTGCCGTGGAGCAAGGAAGCCCGTGCACCACAACTACTGAGCCCACACGCCACAACTACTGAAGCCCGCATGCCTAGAGCCCGTGCTCTGCAACAGGAGAAGCCACCGCATTGAGAAGCCCGCGCACTGCAACGAAGAGTAGCCCCTGCTCGCCACAATTAGAGAAAGCCCATGCACAGCAACAAAGACCCAATGCAGCCAAAAAAAAAAAAAAAATAGAGATGATGAGGGTGGATTTTTAAAAGCCTTTTATCAGAGATGAATTCAAGCTTATAAAAGAATGGCATATTATGTTCCCATGTATGTTCACCAGCTTCAACAATGTATCAACTCATAGCCAATCTCGAGTCATCCCCACCCTTACCCACTTCCCTCCAACATGTTTTCTTTTGAAGCAATTCTCAGACATTCTGTCATTTCATCTGTAAATATGTTAGTATGTATTTCCACAAGAAAATGATTTTTTAACCCCGTAACACCACCATTATCACAACTAAAAAAAAAAAAATCAATAAATCTAGTAGTTGCTTATAGCACAGGAAGCCAAAAATAAAAAAAACCCAAAGCATCCAGCCTCACCCAAGGATTATGGTAAGGGAGTTGCAATCATGCAAAACACAGATTAATAGCCTGAGCCACCCAAGCAAACAAAAGTACCTCATCTTCAGCCTTGCCAGGAGAACTCAGCAAGAAAACAGATTAAATAAATGTCTTAATTGGAAATGCAAAGCTATGCACCCCTGAGTGGCAGAACAATCTTCAGCTGAGTAGGTTTGGCGCACGTGCTACTAAACCTTTGTGGACGGGCTGAATCTTTCCAAAGATTCAGGAGGGCAACATTTGGCTGTGTCCCCAGGCAACCGAAGCGAGGCCTTAAGAGGTGTGATCGTGCAGCTCCCTGGCAATCTCAGGCCAGGGATCAGAATCAGGCTGAAAGACCACTCCCTTCTTCAGGTTCCCTCTGTGCCATTTATCCCTAGTAATGCAAACTTCTATTTATGTGTCCGTCTCCCCTTCTAGATGATGAAGCCTCTGAAGGCAGGATGGTACAGGGTTCACCCTGTATCCTGCGTGGCGAGCACATAAGGGATGCTCAGTAGACAGCTGCATAAAGAGACACTGAACTGGAAAAGTCCGTCATCAGACAATACCAAGTGTTGGAAAGAATGGGGAGAAACAAGAACTTTCGTTTACCCCTAGTGGGATGATAAAATGATAAACCACTTTGGCAACTTGGCAATATCCAAAGACATGTTCCAATGTTTAAGCCCATAACACAAGAACAGGATGTTTTAAATTTAAAAAAGAAGGAATATTCAGAGAACAAAAAAAGAGAAGAGCTCCTAGAAATTAAAATAACAAAAATAAAACAACTCAATGGAAACTCAAGTGGAGAAAGCAAAGCAAAAGGACAAAGAGATCGGGCTTCCCTGGTGGCGCAGTGGTTGAGAGTCTGCCTGCCGATGCAGGGGACATGGGTTCGTGCTCCAGTCCGGGAAGATCCCACATGCCGCGGAGCGGCTGGGCCCGTGAGCCATGGCCGCTGAGCCTGCGCGTCCGGAGCCTGTGCTCCGCAACGGGAGAGGCCACAACAGTGAGAGGCCCGCGTACCGCAAAAAAAAAAAAAAAAAAAAAAAAAGGACAAAGAGGACACGAAAGAAAGAAAACCAAAGGACCAGTCTAGGAGGTCCAATGTTTGAATAAAAGGCGTTCCAGAAAGAGAAGAGAGAAAACAGATGGGAAGAGCGAATACAATAAATTTTTCCTATATTCTTATACTCTGAGTTTCCAAACTGAAGGGTAATGAGTATTCAGTGTAACAGATAAAAACAGACTCACATCGAAACACACCACTGAGAAACTTCAGAGCCCTGGGGTTAAAAGAAGACCTAAAAGCCTTCCACAAAGAACATACACAAAGGATTAAGAATCAGAACTTCCTAGAAGTGAGAAGATAATCGAAGCAACGGCATCAAAATTCTAAAGGACAACTATTTCTAATCATCTCCAGCCTAAGCCTCAGTCAGGCGTGAGGGTGGACTAAAGATACACTTGGCCACACATGGGCTCCAAATCTGCCTCCTCTGCCCCCTTTCCCACGAAGTTCCCGGATGGTGCGCTTCACCAAAATGATGAGGCTGTGCGCCACAAAAATCAAAGACACCAGATACAGGAAACAGAGTTCCTCACATGAGACAGGTGACGACAGCCTCTGTGGGAAAAGAAAGCTGTGAAGGCAAGGAGAAGTGTATCACATGGCTCAGCTATGAATCACAGTAACACAGTCAGACAATGGAAACTCAAGATTGGCTTCACTAAAGCTACGGCACAACCATATTTGGAACACAGAGGGATGGGTGCGGGGGTGTGTGTGTGCGCGTTGGTGGGGGCAGTTGAATTCTAATCTGCTAGAGTGAGAAGTCCACAGATGATGCCTAAAATTAAAAGGAGAGAAGCAGCAATATAAGCTCATTACCCAGAGAAGCAGCAGTGAAAACAAAAATAACCCACCAGGAGAGTCAGCAGTAGTTGTCTCTGGAGAGGAACACTGGCCGGCGGGGAGGGCAAGGTACTGCTGTTTTTGCAACAATATCATGTGTAACTCCCACAGATATAAAAACGCAAGGGGAAACCTGCACATAAGGAGTAACTGGGAAAACGCAGAGGGGCAGCAAATCCTCCCAGCAGCACCTCAGACTCCGGATTACAGCGCCATCTGCCTGTCTATATGTTACTGCCGTGTCCTAGGTTATGACCATCAAAATTCAGCATTTCGCAAGTAGTTGCAGGATACAGATAAAGCTTTACATTTTAACCAGGAGCACTGAGGCTGCTCAATCCAGCAGGTACGTTAAGTGTGGATTTTTAACAATTCTTACCAGCAGTGAAAATGCCTTTGGTGCTCTGTCTCATACTGGAAGGTCTCACGATTGCTGAGAGCCCTGTGAGAAAAAAACAATAACAATGCCAAAAAAGCCAGATGTGAGTCATCCTAACACTTTTAAAACTTGAAACTAAATATTCTTTCCAGCTATCCAATAAAACCAGCAAATCTATCTCTGGTGTCAGAGTGACAGTGAAAAGAGTATCAGGATCGAGGTCCAGGAGACTGGAGCTGCCAGCTGTGTCAACGACCAGCTGTGTCGCTGACCAGCTGTGTGAACACAAGCAAATGACCTCCCCACTCTGGGTCTGGGACGCCTCATCTTACAACCAGTGGGTTAGGTGACCCTTGAAGGTCATTTTTTTCACTTTAAATCTGCTTAGGTCTGCTGGCTCTCAATTCCAAGATGTGGAAAGATTGGGGGAAAAAACACCAAACGTTTCTGCCTAGGAGGAAAACTTATTCTGAAATCACTCAGAGGACTCCTCGGTGAGGACAGCAGGACAGTCCTTCAGGCCCACAGAAAGGCAGAAGGACTCACACCATGACCAGAAAAGACACGCCTCCACATGTATCTTCAGAAGAGGCAGCCGGCACCCTAGGCACATGCTCCGCTCTGCCCGACGGGCAGGTGTCTCCATGTGACACCGTCACTGTGACTTGCATCCTGCCAGGTGGCCAGGCTGCTCCCTGGGGAAGCTCAGCAAATACGTACTCAACAGTAAACGGTGCACTCATCTGAGGGAGGGCATCATTTTCTTTTCTTTTTTTTTTTTTTTCATCATTTTCAATTTCATGATTTCCTTACTTGCTGACTGACCTTGTAAATTACCTGTAACACCTCAAAAGGCAGCAAGTCTCTGAAGATGAGGCTCAGATTTTTGGTCCACATTGGGGATGACGTGAGGAACAGGGGCCATGTTGGAGCAGACCTACTGTGCACACAGGAGCCACACCGAGGGGGCGTCGGCCAAGGAGAGTGGTGTTCTTGATGTTATAAAAGCATTAAAAATGTCACCAGTCTCGGGCTTCCCTGGTGGCGCAGTGGTTGAGGGTCCGCCTGCCGATGCAGGGGACGCGGGTTCGTGCCCCGGTCCGGGAGGATCCCACATGCCACGGAGCGGCTGGGCCCGTGAGCCATGGCCGCTGAGCCTGCGCGTCTGGAGCCTGTGCTCCGCAACGGGAGAGGCCACAACGGTGAGAGGCCCGCGTACCGCAAAAAAAAACAAAAACAAAAAAAACAAAGAAATGTTTGGGCTTCCCTGGTGGCGCAGTGGTTGAGAGTCCGCCTGCCGGTGCGGGGGACACGGGTTCGTGCCCCGGTTGGGAAGGATCCCACATGCTGCGGAGAGGCTGGGCCTGTGAGCCATGGCCGCTGAGCCTGCACGTCCGGAGCCTGCGCTCCGCAGCGGGAGAGGCCACAACAGTGAGTGGTCTGCGTACTGCAAAAAAAAAAAAAAAAAAAAAAAAAAAATCACCAGTCTCCATCCTCCTCAGACCACCGTGAGGAACAAACACATGTCTTTGAAATAACTTCTAAACATTATGCCCTTGGGACCAAAAGAATCATTGTTTCCCTCTCTGTCAGTGATTTAGGACCCAGGGATCTGAAAATAGAAGTACTTTCGGCACCCTACTTCAAACAAACAAGAATTTAGGTTGGGAAAACCCCCAGACTGTTAGTGCTTTCTTATTCTGAGAGGAAATCTCTCTCTCCATCTCACTAGGCAAAAAAGAATAGAGAACCCGTCTCAGCCACAAAGTTTGCTCCCCCCGACCCCCTCCAGCCAACACTTCCTCCCCGTCAGATTCATGCACGTACCTAGACGCACCACGTCTCCACAGTCGGGGTCATGAGCCACTTGCAATAAAGTTTCTTCCACATCTCTGTTTTTTCCAGGAGGGTCCATAATATGATTTATTTGTTGCTGTAAGGTTTTGGGCAATGTCATTAGTTGAGTGAACTGTCCTTCTGGGCTTTTATCGATCTAAGGAAAAAAAAAAGATGACGTCTATGGAAAGTGCTTTGAATTCTATAAATATTCAAAGCACATGGCTTCTCCTTAAAACCACATGAACATATATGAACTCACACCTAGTAGACTAGGCAGGTGCTAAGGAGACTTTCTCCTTTCTGAAACTGAATGCCTAGGTGTTAAGGATTCTAAGTTCCTTCGAACAAGTTAATTCTTTTCCTATGATATTCTACTTGTACTTAAGAATAGAAATTTCTTTCAAGAATCAATTTTTGACTCTCAGTTTTAAAATTTCTATTTGTTCTAAATCCGGTAGTTAAAGAAAGTAAAATTTCAGCTAAAATTCATCAACACACCGGCTCACCCAAGTACTCATTTTCTTTTATTTATTTATTTAAATTTTATTTATTTATTTATTTATTTATTTTTGGCTGTGTTGGGTCTTCGTTGCTGCGCGCGGGCTTTCTCTAGTTGCGGCGAGCGGGGGCTACTCTTCGTTGCGGTGCGTGGGCTTCTCATTGCGGTGGCTTCTCTTGTTGTGGAGCATGGGCTCTAGGCGCGCGGGCTTCAGTAGTTGTGACATGTGGTCTCTGCAGTGGTGGCTCATGGGCTCTAGAGCACAGGCTCAGTAGTTGTGGCCCCCGGGCTTAGTTGCTCCACGGCATGTGGGATCTTCCCAGACCAGGGCTTGAACCCGTGTCCCCTGCATTGGCAGGTGGATTCTTAACCTCTGTGCCACCAGGGAAGTTCCCCATGTACTCATTTTAAACACAGGGGCACAAAGTAACATAGCCAGTAACATGCAGCCAATCAGAGAGTGGGATCTAAATTCGCGTCTCCTGTCTGTAGGGCCTTTTATGTACCATGCTGTATTTCATAAACTGTAGGAATAAACTGATGACAGAGACTAATCTTTATTTACTTTTAATCCCGTGGCACATAGTAAGTACTCAAAAAACATCGGTTGAATAAGAGGATAAATAACTGCACCAATAAAGCTTAGTTGTCATTATTTCTTAAACAGCAGTAAGTTATACCAATGGTTTCTGTTCCCAGTGTATTCTAAAATACATCAAATTTAAAGAAAAATACAGAAATAAAGCATATATAAAACTATGCATTAGACTTTACTTGGAAACCTGTGAATCAACAGTTATCCATAGAGCTAAGCCCACACCCAGCTTCCCTAACTCCTAGTCTGATATATTTTACGTCATGGAACTAAATTTTTCCAAAATCATGTAAACATGACTCCCTGCCAAGGTGAAAAGCAGTACCACTGCCCTCAGCAGCTCATCACATTATTCTCCCAGTAAGAATCTGTCTTGTATTCTTTCAACAAGCGTTTAGGTTTTAACTTTAAGAGAACAGTAAGAAAAAAGAATAGATACGTGAATGTATTAAATTTTAGATTTGGATTTTCCAGATATGACCAACTTTCTTAATAATTAGAATTCATTCATTCTACCACTTTTTCATTCAACAAATATTTACTGAGTATATGCCAATGTCTAGATTTTCTAGTTTTATCTATAAATCTATGCAAAAAAGAAGAAAATGCTATTATATAGTGGCTTCAATAAGGTGAAGGTTTTTTTAACCTAAATATTTCATATTTATCATGGAGATGGTCCTAAATTCACAGGATTCAACCTCCACTTAGCTTTGGCTAGATAAATGACAAAAAATGTGAATATTTCTGTAAAAGATGCTAGAAATGACATTTATAGACTCATATTTTGGGGCCAAGTATTGAGATTAGTCACTAGGATCTTATATTTCAAGGCTTTACCTATGAGACTTCCAGGAATTTTAGAGATGCCAAAATGGCTGAGTAATATGAGGAATTAGAAAACAGTTATTTGCCACTGCTTTCTCTTGAGGAAAAGAATGCACTGGAGTTTTTGTTTGAAAGCATGTGTTCCAAGACAAAATATTAGGTGACATGTTCAAATAAATTGCAAAATTTTAATTATCCTTACTCTTCAATTCTCATTAAAACACAAAAGTGAAAGCATTCAGTTAAATTATGAGTCAAATTGCATTTTAAAAGCAGACATGGAAAAGACCACATGTTCTATGATTCTATTTACAGGAAGTATCTAGAAGAGGCAAATCCACGGAGTCAGAAAGTAGATTAGTGGCTGCCTGCCGCGAGGGGAAGCTAGGTACTGCTACTGGGCATGGGGTTGCTTTTTGGAGTGATGAAAATGTTGTAAAACTAGATTGTGGTGATGGTTGCACAACTGTGTAAACAGACTAAAAACCACCGAATTTTACAGTATGTAAATTATATCTCAATAAGGCTGATGTTTTAAAAAAGCAGATATGGGCATATGATAGTGGATGCTGTGTTGCACCGACCACATCCTGGCTTTGGGGCAAGGTACTCATTCTGCCAGCTGCTGGGAAAGTTGGCTGACTCCCTCCCTCAGAGTCCCTCCCGCAACTGTCCTCAGGCAAAGGGAGCTGCCTGTATCCAAAGACTGGAAAATGCAGGAGTCCAAAGGCCTGGTCTCTTTGCCCCAAGTGGGGACAGCTAGGAAGGGCCATCGAGCTCCACAGTGCCATCACAGGATCAGATGGAGTCTTTGTTTCTAATCTCCCCAATCCTGATCCTACACAACTGGTACCAAGAGTGGTCCTGGAAAGCACATTCTCAGACAGCATTTTAGAGCTATCACAGTGTAGAAGGCCAAGTGGAAGCCTCTGAAGCTGCCGTTCTCACCCCCTGGCCAAAAGAGTAATGAAAAAACAAAACCACATCACAGGAGGAATGGCAGAGATTAATGCCACATATAGGCCTGCAGGATGCAGGGGTGTGATGTTTAATTTTGTATGTCAACTTGGCTAGGCTATAGGGCCTAGTTGCTTGGTTAAACTTTAGTCCAGATGTTACTGCAAAGGTATCTTTTTAAGCCAGTAGACTTTGAGTAGCAGATGACCCCCGTTAACATGGATGGGCCTCATCCAGTCAGTTGAAGGCCTTATGAAAAAAGACTAAAGTTTCCTGAGGAAGAAGGAAGTCTGCCTCCAGATTGCCCTCGGGCTCAAGAGCACAACACGCTCTTCCCTGGGTCTCCGGCCTGCTGGCTTGCCCTGCAAATTTCAAACTTGCCAACCCTCACAACTCTGTGAGTTAATTCCCTAAAATACATCTTTCTCTATATATCCTATTGGTCCTATTTCTCTGGAGAACCCTGACTAATACTAGAGCTGACGGTCCCATCATGTCTCCACTGAGTCTGGCCTTCACAAAATCCAAATGGATTCTGGCAGATGGTAGCAGACCACCACAAACTCAGCCAAGTAGAAGCCCCGCTGTACCGGCTGTGGCAGATGTGGGAAGTCTGCTGAAGCGTATCAGCAGAGCCTCAGGTGTCTGGACGGGGCCACAGGCCTGGCGAGCGCATTCTCTGCCATCCACAGAGCAAGGAGGATGAGAAGCAGCTCGCGGCCACACAGGACAGACCAGAGTGCGCCTTACCACCTGCCTCAGGGCCGTGTTAACTCCCCCACCCTGTCATAAGATATTCAAAGAAAACCAGACTGTTTGGATACTCTGTATAATCTCATTGGTCCACTACATCAATGACACGCTGCTGCTGTCACCTGGTGAGCGCTAAAGGGCAAGTACACTGGGGGCCTTGGTAGATATATGCACCCCAGCGGGGAAAAGATACACCTCATGAATTGTGAGAGCACACCACATCAGGGAGGAGTTTAGGGGTCAAGTGACCTGGAGCTCTGGGACAGCCTCTCCAAAGTAAAGATCAACTTACGGCATCTCGTACCTCTCACCACTAAGAAGGAAGCACACTGCCTGATAGGCTTCTTCAGGTCCTAGATGCAGCATATTCCACACTTGGGAATAATGCTCAGAGCCATTTACCCAGCGATATAAAAGGATGCAAGGTCTGTGAGGGGCAAGAGCAAAAACGAGCTCTGCGATAGATACAGGCAGCAGGGTAAGCAGCCCTCCACCACGTGGGCACACCTCCCTGTAAACTATGGTACTAAAGGCCTCCTCAGTGTACAGAGAAGCCAGGGGAAGTTACAGTGGGCTCCCAGTGGGAGATCACAATGGAGACTGCTAGGGTTCTGGAGCAAGGCCACGCCATCTGTAGTGAAGAACCACACACCATTTGAAATCAGCTCCTAGATGCTACACCCTGGCAGAGACAGAGCTTCTAACCATGGGACATCAAATGACCATGTATCAAGAACTGCCCATTATGAACTGGGACCTGCTAGCTTCACCAAGTCATAAGGGCACGAAGCTCAAGAGCAATCCACTGTAGGACGTAAGAGATACACCAGCATTGGACATGCGCAAGGCCAGAGGGCACAAGTCAGCTGCACAAACAGGAAACCCAGACCCCCATCATTTCCACTGTTGCACCAGCACATAATGTTCTACTTCTCCACTGGCTCATGCACACGGCTACAAGGAGGCTTTTGGAGGAGGATAAAGGATGGGCTTGCTTCATGGATGACTTGGCTTGTAGTATGTACGGGGTGAAAATGATGCATTACAGCCGCGCCCAGGGATGGCCCTGGAAGACACTGATGAGGAGCCATCGTCCCAGTGAGTACGCTGCAGGTGGCACAGCTGGTTACCCACTTTACATGGAAAAGTGGCCCAAGATAAGAATATACAAAGACTCAAAGAGTGGACAATGGTTCACTGGTTGGTCAGGGACCTAAAAGGAAGGAGATTAGAAGGTGGAAGACAGGATCTGGGGGGAAGAGGCATGTGGATGGACCTATGGGAGGGGACACAAAGTATGAAGATCTTTGTATTGTACGTTAATGCTTCCATCTGAGAGCATCCAACACAGAAGAAGCAACAACAACCAAAAGAACAATTTAGCCAGTTGATTCAACAGGCTCTTTCATCCCAGTGATGGCATAACGGCTTGTAGCAGGAGTAGTGGGTGGGAGAGATAGAGGCTCTGCCCAGATCCAATATCAGGGGCTTCTACTCACCAAGGCTGACTGAGCCACTGCTG